AAAAAGTGCTTTTGCAGAAAAGCATCCTGCCAATCTAGACGTGCTTTTCCGAAAATGCTTTTAACGGAAAACTTTTCCGTTAAAAACATTTTCGGAAAATCATGCCAGTGTAGATGTAGCCCACCTGTATACACCTAAGTACTTCAAGTCATCAACTTCTCTGCAGTGAAGTACTACTACTAGACTGGTGATTTACACTATTTTATGCTTTATTCATTTTATTGCATTCTAATTCTTTGAAAATTGGTATTCCATTGGTAAGTGCAACGCTTTGTTAACCAGAATTTTTAATGAATCGGCACCCTCTATTTCCTCATCATGTTAGATAACACAGCTTAGCTTTTACTGTACTTTTAAAGGTTACTAGCACAGAGTCAGTTATGAAGTATGACTGGGCAATTTCTTTTAGAATGACCAAATCTGAGCAATAACTCAACCAACCTATTTGAGATGCTGGAGGCAGGCAAGTAGTGTTTATACATTCTGCAGTTTTATATTTAATGTCATTTAATTATTACAAATGTGACAAAATACAAACTGGAATATCACAAAATATTTTTCCCATTAAAAAACTGAAATTCAAGATATATAAAGATCATAATAACCCAAAAGCAGGTTTATCTCAAAAACAACAAAACCTGTCATGCTATTAACAATAATTAACGTAGCTGTTAATTTCTAGCACTAAATACTGCAAACTTAGAAAACTATCAATAACGAAGTATAAAACTAACATATAAAAATAAAGCAGCACTGGGACCAGAGTGTGTTGAATTGCCTTACCATTAAAGAAATCTGCATGAACTGCCTTTTCATTAGCTGCTAAGTCCATCAATAAACCTGTACTTCCTCCTGCCTAAGAAAGAAGTGTTTTTATCATCTGATGTGCATAGTTTAGTGGCAACTTATAACAACATTCACTATGTAAAGCTTTATTTATCTTTACATATTGTTATGGTTCATAAAAACATTTATATACCTAGCAAATAACACTTGAGGTACAATACATTGTCCCATCTTTTTCCCACTTCTGCTACCATCTGTACAACTCATTTGAGTAGTGTAATTGTTTGCCTCTTTCTGGAGAGCTTATACTTGGCGGCTGTGTCTAGACTGGCCAGTTTTTCCAGAAAATCAGCCGCTTTTCCAGAAAAACTTGCCAGCTGTCTACACTGGCCGCTTGAATTTCCACAAAAGCACTGACTTCCTACTGTAAGAAACCAGTGCTTCTTGCGGAAATACTATTCTGCTCCCATTCGGGCAAAAGTCCCTTTTGCTCAAAGCTTTTGCACAAAAGGGCCAGTGTAGACAGCTCAGATTTGTTTTCCGCAAAAAAGCCCCGATCGCGAAAATAGCAATCGGGGCTTTTTTGCGCAAAAGCACGTCTGGATTGGCATGGACACTTTTCCGCAAAAAGTGCTTTTGTGGAAAAGCGTCCGTGCCAATCTACACGCTCTGTTCCGAAAATGCTTTTAACGGAAAACTTTTCCATTAAAAGCATTTCCGGAAAATCATGCCAATCTAGACACAGCCGGCTGGTATTATCAGCAATAACCTTCATTTTCTCCCAGTCTGTCATATGCTACATTTCCTAGTGTAACTGTGAGAAATAACCACGATCCCAATCCTGCAGTAAATGCTATGCAGACAGAGCCACCTAGAACATTACAATAATGGACTATTGTTTGTAAGTCAGTCAGTCCACACCCTTAGCTTGGAATAAGATGCACAATTTACACGTATCTTATTTTGATCCAATTTTGAAATAAAATGCTGTTCCGAAACGTCCCTTAACCCTTGTGGAAGGAGGCATACAGAGACATTGGAACAGCATGGCTGTTATTTTGAAATCTATTTCGAAATAACGAGCTGCTTTAAAGACGCAGAATAGCTATTTTGAGCTCTGCAGTATAGATGTAGCCTAGGCCAGTGGTTTTTCCAATGCTGGCTCATGGCTTGTAAGGGCAAGCCG